GTTAGTTTGTGGAACTCAGAGGACCAGAAAATGTCCATTTAAAATGGAAAACACCTGGTTTGAAGAGGAAGGGCTGGTTCCCTTATATCCTCAAAATGGTAAGATTTTCAGTTCGAAGGAACCAACTCTTTTATTTTGGCAAAAAAGATCAATCAAATTAAGGAGTTACTGAAAGGTTGGCGGCTGGAGTTTCAAGGGAGTTCAAAATTAGAAAAAAAGAAATGTTTAGAGGATATCAAGGAAGTGGACTTGGCTGAAGAAATTGGCCCAACGACAGAAGAGGAGGGGAAAAGAAGGTTAACAGCTAAGCTGTCCCTAGACAAACTAGCTGTCAGGGACAAAGTGAAATGGAGGCAAAGAGCCAAAGTTAAGTGTCTTAAAGCAGGGGATACAAATTCCAGTTTTTTTCCATAAGATGGCAAATGCTAGGAAAAGGCTAAACCATCTGGAGAGGCTGGAATCAGATGACCAGGTAGGAGAAAATTGGGAGGAAATGAAAAGCATTGTCACTACTTATTTTTCAAACCTATTCAAGGAAAGTTGGAAAAGAGGACCTCTCCCGGTTGACAACTTTAGGAGACTCAGAGTTTCAGCAAAGGGAATTGGAAGCCCCCTTTTCAGAGGAGGAAATCTGGCATGTGGTAAAAAATTTGGAAGTGGATAAGTCACCAGGGCCGGATGGTCTTACCAATCTGTTCTATAAACAGTGTTGGGAGGTGGTAAAAGTGGACATATTGAAGGTGTTTCAGGATTTCCACCAAAATGCAGCCTTGGAAAGAAGCCTGAATTCTACTTTCATTTCCTTAATTCCAAAGGTGGAAGGTGCAACAAATGTTAAGGACTTTAGACCGATTAGTTTGCTAAATAGTTTCTATAGAATCTTGGCTAAGGTCCTAGCAGAGAGATTAAAGAAGGTTCTAAACAAGGTTCAAAATATCGATACGCCCGATATGCCGGTATGGGCGTATCGGGCGAATCGTTACTCATTTTGGTGGTTTTTATTTTTTT